TCTCTGAATTCGTCGTCGACGGAGATAATAAATCTTATGCTGGGCCTGAAATCTTGGAGATGTCATTTAATGTTCTGACGTCAGCAAGTCAGGCAGCCTGCCAGCCAGAATGTCGCAGTTGTTTCAACACAATCATTTTCAAATGTTTTGCGTTTTTTCCAAACAAATGTTTAAGTTTTGTTACTTTTTTATGATCCACTGAATCTTCTGCTGAAACGTTAATTTAATAGATGTTGTTATTTGGAATGTTTTGTACACCGAGGAAATACCATAAAACGACAGAAGCACAGCATTGATCTGTGAATGGGGTGTGGTCCATTAGTATCGTATCGTTTTTTTTTTTTTTATTGAACAACAAGGAAGGCTATAATCGATTTTAATTGATGTTAAGCTTTGTGCTTCTTTTCAAAGAAGAAGTTAATAAAAGACGAGATTGGATCGCTCGTGTGCACAAACATTTCTTGTTCGATTATTAATTAGCTTTCTTTGATGGCTCTGCAATTTAGCATAGGTTATCTTGCAATGAAGGAATATAAAACTAGGAATATGGCAATACCCAGCAAACAATTTTATTTTCATTTCATGACAAAAATTATATTATTTTCCATAAATTTGTTAATTCATTTTGTTGTATGAACTATTTAAATTATACACTACATCACTATGAACATATTAAAGGTTTGAGCTGGGTCGATATAGCTATGATGGTACAACCCCAAGGCGAAGCTAGAATTTTGAAATGCTACAATGGGGTCAATTTTGGTATGTAGGTGTGACATAAACCCGGGTTTCATTTCCAGTGCACTATATAGAAATTCGAACCGTATAGGAATAGAACTTAAAATACGAATTTTAGTACAAGGTTATATATATTAATGATCAGCATAAAATTCTAAGTCGATATAGCGATGTCCGTCTCTTGGAATCACGATACAGCCCCATATTCTTTTACGTAAAGCTTCAAAGCTTGGAAGAACAATTTGTCTAGGATGGTTGGTATTGAAAATGAGATATAGCGGTTCACGTTTTGGTATAGCCGCCATATAACGGTACATCCCAATATTCGGTATTTTTATGATTTTTGTCACATTTTTCCACGGATTTGTCCGATATTTTGATGATTTTTGCCACATTTCCTATAGTTCCACGTTTTCCTATAGAGCTGCTGTCATTTCAAAGCCACTCGTCCGACAGCTGTTAAAATTATTCCAGTGACAGCTCATTATATTGTTTACTAGCGTACAAAAGCATTTTGGCGAGAATTTTCCAGAAAAAAAGTTATTCGTGATGGAATTCATGCGTGATAGTTGATTTCTTTATATTTGGCTGGAAAACGACAAGTGGCTATCGGTTGAGCACTCCAGCATTTAAATGTGAATAAATCTTTTGTGTCTCGTACCATCGCTCGTTACCGTGATACTGGTAGCGTAGCCCGACGTCAAGGATTTGGACGAAAGATGATTCGAAAAGTAAAGAAGCGACTTTATCGAAAACCGCGTCGCAGTGGCCGAAAAATGGCTCGAGAGCTGAACATATCATATATCAAAAAGTGCAAGAACTTACACCGCAACAGAAAGAAAATAGACTCAAAAGAGCTAAAGAGTAGCTTCGCTTGGCCGAAAGTAGTGAAATGCCGAATTTGGTTTTCTCCGATGAGAAAACATTCGTTGTCCAGCAGTTTGTAAACAAATATGTTTACTTGCCAAAGAGGTCAGCTGAAAATGTGCACCTTCGGTTGGCCACCAGAACTCAAGCGCCGACCATGGTGATGGTGTGGGCCGTCATAAGAGCCGATGGTCGATTTCAGCTCGTATTAATCGACCATGGCATCAGAATAAATGCCGAATATTATCGCAACAATATTCTGGAAGGTGTATTAAAGCCTTGGGCACGCAAACATTTTGGCCGCAGACCTTGGACATTCCAACAGGACTCGGCACCATCGCCCTCAGCAAGAATGTTTACATAATGAGGTTCCTCGCTTTATTTCCAGCACATAATTAATGGCCACCAAAATCTCCGGATATCAATCCGTTGGACTATTGTGTCTGGAGTATTTTGGAAAGCAAGGTTGGCACTAAAAAATACCAAAGTGCCGATCACCTCAAGCAAGCGCTTCGCCGGGAATTGGCCAAATACCGCAGAGGAACATTCGGGCAGTGTGTTACGGTTTCATTGGCCGTTTGAAGGCCAAATTCGTGGCAAAGGTGACCGATTCGAACAAATCTCAACTTATTCTAAAATTTTATGCTATTTCCGACATTTTTATACCCTCCACCATACTATGGGGGGCATATTAACTTTGTCATTCCGTTTGTAACTCCTCGAAATACTCATGGCAGACCCAACAAAGTATATATATTCTTGATCAGCGTAAAATTCTAAGTCGATTTAGCCATGTCCGTCTGTCTGTCTGTCAGTCTTTCCGTCTGTCTGTCTGTCCGTCTGTCTATTTTAATCACGCTATCTTTCGAACGAACTGAGATAGAAGGCTAAAATTTTTGCACACGTGTTTATTTTTCCAGTAGGCAGGTTAAGTTCGTAAATGGGCCATGTAGGTTTTCATATAGCCCCCATATTACGGTACCTCCCGATATTCGGTATTTTGATGATTTTAGCGACATTATTCACCGGAATTGTTTCAACTTTGGTATTTGAAGTTTGAAATAGATACTACAGCCTATCACAGAAAATTATCTGGGCAAGTCCACGTCTTCGTATAGCCCCTAAATAACGGTACCTCCCAAAATTCGGTATTTTGATGATATTAGCGACATTATTCACCGAAATTGTTTCAAATTACGTATTTAGAGTTCGTAATAGGAACTGCAGTCTGCGACAGAAAAATGTCCATGCAGCCCCCATATAACGGTACCTCATATATTCGGTATTTTGATGATGTATTCACCGGAATTTTTCAAATTACGTATTTAGAGTTCGTAATGTGAACTACAGTCTGTGACAGAAAAATGTCTAAGCCAGGTCCAGGTCTTCGTATAGGCCCCATATATCAGTACCTCCCTATATTCGGTATTTTGACGAGTTTAGGTACAATACCCACCGAAATTGTTTGAGATTATTTAACGTTAGTAATGGATGCTATAGCCTGTGACAAAGAATTGTCTATGATGGTCCAGGTCTTCGCACAGCTCCGATATAATGGTACCTCCCTATACGATATTTCGATGATTTTAGCTACATTATTCACCGTTTATTTGAAGTTTCAAATTTGAATATGGTAATGGCTAATGGCAAACAATGCCTATGAAGGTCCACGTCGTATAGACACCAATATAACGGCAATATTCGGTATTTTTAAAATTTAACAGATTTTTTTAGGGATTTTATTTTTTTTTTTTAAATTTCCAAATTCGTTCCAAATGGTGGAGGGTATTCAAAGTTTGGCCCGGCCGAACTTATTGCTTTTTAACTTGTTTGCTTTCAATCAATAAAATTAAAAAAAAATGTAAAAACTATGGCGTTTGACTTTGCTGCAGTTTTTTTATCTCACCCTGTAACTTTAGGCTGATCTATAGGGTCTCCGAACAATATTTCGAGATCTTGTAAACCAAATAAAAAATAATACATCCATTTTATTGTGAAGCTTTTAAAATCCGGTGTATTAGATACAGCTTCGGAAAAATTATTTGTCGAAAATATAAATTTTAATTTTTAAGGCTTTTACTAAACTAGCCGTATATGGTCGTCTTGTCTCAACGGATACATATTTTGGAGAGGGGTCCGAAGCAATCACTAGAATTTCATAAACATTTTTTGACCACATTTTAGGTTATACAGTATTTTTTGCTTACATGCACAATCAAAAATTGCACGACATCTTGTGTAGCAATGCCCAAAATGCAGGTAGCTTCATTGCACTTATCTGCACAATGAAGCAGGTATCTTTAATTTTACTTACGTGCACAAAAAGTGCAGGTATCTTTAATTTTCTATTCGTATGTATTTGAGCATCAGTGGTGTTTTTTCCAGCATAACCATCTTTTAGTGTGGGAGAGGAAGCGAGAATATGTTTTTAATGCATGCTCTTTTCTTGTGTTGTTATTGTTTTTGCGAATACAAAAACAAAAACGAAGTGGTAGTTTTTAGTGTCTTTTTTGAGTTTGCAAAAAATTTTCTTGTGCAGATAAATACAATTTTTGTAACCAAATTAAAAAAAAAATACCAAATTTTCGAGGTAGGAATGTCCAATGTGCTGCTATCGATTGGGCACTTAAATACAATTCAAATAAAGGGATTCAGAAAAAAATGGCATAACAAAAGTTTTTTGGTCTGCAAAGGCCAATGCGCAGCTAATGTTGATGCAGGTAAAGGTAAATAAAGGTAAATAGAAACCACTGTACTGTTTTTTATTAGGTAACCTCTTTGTAGAAGATTGATGTCGTTTTTAATAATTGTGTCGATTAAAAATATATTTCATTTCACTGTTTAATTCTATTTATTCCAGTTATTAAAATCGACGTTATTAACTCCTGTTCAAAAAGGCCGGAAAATGCACAAAATCTAATGGCGTGTTCAAGTTTTTATTTCCTCGAAAACAGGCCATTTTAAGCAGATTGACGTATAAAGAAGCCGATAGAAAATGCTATGGAAATAAAAAGTTTTTGTTTAGTTATTGGCGTAGTTCCTTATAACCAGTGTTACTCATATCCAATCACTTCATTTTATGTTTTAAGCCAGTTTTTCATACTTACTTGTAATGTTATCAATTTTTGGTTCAAAATCAGAAATTTCTACATTATCAATAATAAGATGAGAATACACGATGTTCGTCACATACATTGAATTCATATGTCATTCACATGGCAATACATTTAGTTGTACACATTAAATATGTATATGGTTCTGATCTGTACTAAAAAGGTTACGTTCACAACAATTATATTCTTTTCTTACCGCCATCAGTATACGTTTTATGGCAAGTTATATTAAATATTCCCTTATAATACTTTAGTATAATCACAACACAGTTGAAGACTTACCAATCCAACTTCTAACTTTCGGCAGGTAATCATTCCAGAATGAGCATCGTTTGGCCAATGGACCTCTTTGTAGCTTTTCAATTTTTTCATCTGTACTGAAGACATAGTAAACGGGATCTTCCTTGGAGAAATTGGGCCATTCTTCGCCATCAACGGCAGGGTTGCTATAAAAATACAAGAAAAGTGGAATATTCGCTTAGTTCTGTATGCTGCTATAAATACTTTATAACACTATGTGTATGTGTATAACAGTTATGGTACTTGTCTGCAATATAACGATGCTTGTCTCGACTAAGTTACTAAGAGGTGTGTTGGGTTTTCCAACACACCACAAAATAAATTAAAACTAAAAATACATTAGGGTTTACATTATTAAATCAAGTAAAAAAGCTGTAAATTCGGCCGGGCCGAACTTTGAATACCCTCCACCATTTGGAACGAATTTGGCATTTTTCAAAAAATAAAAACCGTTATCTTAAAAATACCGAATGTATCCGTCATATTAGCTTCTATAAGACGACGTGGAGCTGCATAGGCAACTTTTGTCATAAGCCATTACTATATCCAAATGCGAATCTTTAAAAAAAGAATCTGTTAATAATGTAGCTAAAATCATCAATATAGGGATACTATTACATGGGGGCTATACAAAAATGTGGACATGCACAGACAATTTTCTGCCTGAGACTGCAATATCCATTACGAACTTTAAATACCAAATTTGAAACCATTCCGGTGAATAATGTCGCCAAAATCATCAAAATACCGAATATCGGGATGTACCGTAATATGGCGGCTATACGAAGACATGGACCTGTGCGGACAAATTTATGTCATAGGCTGTAGTATATATTACGAACTTCAAATGCCAAATTTGAAACAATTTCGGTGAAAAATGTCACAAAATGATCAAAATACCGAATATCGGAAGGTACCGGTATGGGGGCTCTACAAAGACGAGGACCTGCACAGACAGTTTTGTGTCATAAACTGTAGTATCCATTGCATACATCAAATACCAAAGTTGAAACATTTCCGGTGAATAATGTCGCTAAAATTATTAAAATACCGAATATCGGGAGGTACCGTTATATTCGGGCTAAACGAAGACGTAGACCTGCACAGACTTGCACAAATATCGGGAGGTACCGTTATATGGGGGCTACACGAAGACGTGGGCCTGCAGAGTTTTCAGTCTTAGGCTGTAGTATACATTACGAACTTCAAATACCAAATTTGAAACAATTCCGGTGAAAAATGTCGCTAAAATTATTAAAATACCGAATATGGGGAGGTACCGTTATATGGGGGCTACACGTAGACGTGGGCCTGCAAAGACAATTTTTTGTCATAGGCTGTAGTATCCATTACGAACTTCAAATGCCAAATTTGAAATAACTCCGGTGAGGATTGTCGCCAAAATCATCAAAATACCGAATATCGGGAGATACCGTTATATGGGGGCTATACGAAGACGTGGACCTGAACAGACAATTTTCCGTCATAGGCTGTAGTATCCATTACGAACTTCAAATATTAAATTTGAAACATTTCTGATGAATAATGTCGCTTAAATCACCAAAATACCGAAAATAAGGAGGTATGTGGACTATACCAAAACGTGGACCTACATGACCCATTTTCAATACCAAAATTCCTGCAGACATAATAACATTTGAATAAAATGTTATCAACCTAATTCATTTCAATCGGAAGCTACAGTGATTTCCACAGACGGACGGACATCTCTAAATCGACAAAGGATTTTATGCTGATAAAGAATATATATATACTTTGTGGGGTCTAAAATGTATATTTCGAGGTGTTACAAAAGGAATGACAAACTTAATATACCTTCCATACTGGAGGGGTATAAATAGGAATATTTTTGGCTTCAATGGCATGTTATCAGAGTTATAATTATTCAAAATTTTGACCCCTTGTGGCGATGTAACAACAGAAGTGGAACGACATAACCGATATTCTTGTTATATATATTTCAAGAAAATCGCTAATTAAGGTTATTCAAAATTGTCATCTACCGCCTGAAACTTTTTACCTTGTTCGGTATTTTAAAAGCCCACATTTTCATACCATTGCACTTTTGAGCGGGACCAAATCGAATATCAAATCTCAATACTTTTATTTTCAAAAGCTTACTCATCAATGTAGGCCTTGTTTACATATTTAAGGTAGGAAAGACTATACTTGCAAAACATACAGACATTGCAGTCAAAATGGTTTTAAAAATCTTAAAATTAAATCTCACCGTAAATTTATACGTTTGAAATTTAAGTTTATACAAATTAGTAGGACTTACCCAGATTTGGCAAATTCAATCACAGAATTGAGCATACGTTTGCCTAATTCTCGTTCCACAGGTCGATATTGCAGTGAATTGTTCAATGGCTGACCGAAGAAATATTCAATTTCATCGCCGTGCAAGACACCCATCCATTCGCCCCACAATGAGGTGCTGGTGCGCTAGAAAAATATAATGAAAAAAAAAATACAAATATAAATAACATGAAGAAAATTATTATGATTTTTTTAATATATAATTACGTCATAAAAAATTAAAAAATAATAATAAAAATAACTATAGATAAAATGGTAACTTGTTTATGCCGGATTGTAGATTGAAAAATAAGGGACAATTAAATATTTATACCCTACACCACACAGTGGTAAGGGTATTATGTCTTTGTGCATTTGTTTGTAACAGGGAGAAGGAAGGGAGATAGACCCATAGTTACTTATTAGGATATTCACAGAACCATATAACCTTTTTGAGTCGATTTAAGCGTGTCAGTCCGTCCGTTCGTCCATTTATTCTTGTAAACATAATGCAGGTGTATATGTTTTTGTGTATATGTTTAAAACAAGGTGAAGGAAGCGAGATAGACCCATAGTTACTTATGAGGATCTTTATAGATCCATAGGACCTTTTAGAGTCGATTTAAGCATGTCAGTCAGTCCGTCCGTCCATGTATTCTTGTGAACAAAATGCAGGTCGCACTTATTATCCGATTGAGATGAAATTTTCCAAACAATATTTGTTTGGCCCAAGGATGAACCCTATTGAAATTGGTGATAATCAATTCAGATTTAGATATAGCTTCCATATATATCTTCAACCGATTTCGGGTTAATTGTGCAGCAAATGGCGAATTTATGCCCAAAAGTACGGAATGTTGGTACATCCGACCGAATTCAGTCTAGAAGCAGGTACATCATGTTTAATGAAAATCGATTCAGATATAGCTATAGCTCCCATATATGTTTCATCCGATTTGGTGTTTAAGTCCTTGACATGCGTAATAACCACTTCACAACAATGATATTTGGTACCAGACATCAGATACAGCCCAGAAATACCAATACCAAATGTCAAATTTTATCAAGATTGGTTTGGTTATAGCTCCCATATATATCTTCAACCGATTTCGGGTTAACTGTGCTCTAAATGGCCAATAAAAGTTCAAATGACCTGAAAATCGGTTCAGATATAGCTATAGCTCCCATATATGTTTCATTCGATTTGGTCTTTAAGTCCCTCGCCTGAGTAATAAGCACTTCAAAAGAATGATATTTGGTACCAGATATATGATACAGCCCAGAAATATCTCTGCCAAATTGTATCAAGATCGGTTCAGATGTGGATATAACTCCCATATTTGTCTTCAACCGATTTTTGGTTAACTGTGAACCAAATGACCTGAATTTTGGCACATCCAACCGAATTCAATCTAAAAGTAAGTACATGAAATTTAGTGAAAATCGGCTCAGATATAGCTTTAGCTGTCATATATAAGTTTTATCCAATTTGGGGATTTAAAGTTCCTCACATTTATAATATACATTCGACAACAATGATATTTGGTACCAGATATCAGATACAGCCCAGAAATCCCTCTGCCAAATTTTATCAGGATCGGTTCAGATTTGGATATAGCACCCATATATATCTTCAACCGATTTCGGGTTAATTAAAAAATTACCAATATAAGTCCAAATGACCTGAATTTTGGTACATCCAACCGAATTCGATCTAAAAGCAAGTAGAGATATAGCAATAGCTCCCATATATATATATATATATATATATGTTTCATTCGATTTGGATTTAAATCCCTCACATTCGTAAAATGCATTCGACAACAATATTTGAAACATCCTTAAACATCCTTAATCCGATTTCAGGTTTATTGTGCAAATTCGGGACGTACGTTTCAAATATATATATATATATATATATATATATATATATATATATATATATATATATATATATATATATACAGTTCAGCAATTTACTAAATTTATGATAATTATACACAGGTTCCTGTGTTACATCGACATATGTATGTCCTTGAATATTTGTAATTTTGTCATTCATTGGCGTAATTAGTCCAATTCTTAAAAGACAAGTATATTTAACCGGAAATCTGATTTCTATCTGCGGTGTTTTGGCCTTTTCTTAAACTTAAAAGTTTTTCGCCAAAGTTTTCTGTATATGCCCTTGATATTACCACAATTATAGCTGCTGTTCCTCCAAGCCAACGCACCAAACTTTTGCCTGATGTTGTTAATCAAACCAATAATGAGCTTGTGCAAGAATTCTCTCTTTTGTGTGATGATCCATTATTCTGTGTTTTTCTTGTTTTTACGAACAACGCCGCTGTTGGTGGTTTTCGTGCAGTTAATTCATACTACGTGCTCCTTGCAGTTGCAGCAATTTTTTTAAGTGCTATGTTTTTTATTTTTAGTTTTTGTTTGTAGTTTTATTCGGTGTGTATTATAACTTTATTGTCATGCAGCAGTTGTAAAGTGCTGTCTTTTATTTGGTTCCTCCTCATTCATGACTCGGTACACATATCAAGGAACATGATTAGGTGTTTTGTTCGCATTGCGTTCTATGAATGTTGTGAGTATGTTGCATTATAAATGTTTGTGCAAATATAGTAAGAGGTTTATTTTGTTAAATTATTGCTCGTCTCTATCTCCATCATATTACCTCTTGTGATGGTTTCGTTCAAACTGAACGGCTGAACTTACCCGTTTTTTTTTTTACTTGTTCTGTTTCAATTTATTATACTCTCAACCATGGTATGGAGAGTATATTAAGTTTGTCATTCCTTTCGTAATTTCTCAAAATAGGCATTTCAGACCCCATATATATTCTTGATCAGCATATGATTCTTTGTCGATTTAGCCATGCCCGTATGTCTGTATGCCCGAACGAAGAGAAGTAGATTGATAAAATTTTGGTGAGATGCCTTTTAGGTCCGTAAAATATTTGGTATTGAAAAATGGACCATATAGGTCCACATTTTGATACAGCCCCCGAAAAAAAAACTATACCGCCTGAATTTGCTGCAAATTTGGAAATTGTTGTCTCGGTATGTAAAAAGCATATTTGCAAAGAACTGTCTATATAGATCCAAGTCTAGGTATAGTCCACTGTTTCCGCCCGAAATTCGGTATTTTGTTGATTTGTGTCATATTTTTTTTTTTTTTGACCGGAATTGTAACAAATTTGTTGTTTGGAGTTCATAATGACTACTCCACTGACTCCACTGAGAAATAATTGCTTATCTAGGTCTACGTGTTAGTATAACGATACAACTCTATATTCGGTATTTTGATGATTTTAGCTAAATTTTTCATCGGAATAATTTTAAATTTAGAGTCCGCAATGGATACTACTTCATATGACAGAAAATTGCTTGTGCATCTCATCTTCCTGTAGCTCCCATATAACGCTACAACAGAACTATCACAAAATAGGTATTTTGAGTTCGTAATAAGCACCACGGTTTTTGAATTGCCCGATTAACTGTAACAATTTTTAAAACTTTAGCGGAATTTTTGCATGCGAAATTTTTTACATTCTGTAAATTCCATCCAAATGCCAAATCACAAAGTATTCCGCTGGCGGTGGAAATATAACCTTAAAAATACCGAAAATTTTGAGGAAGCTTTCCATTACTTCAAATATAGTAGGTCTTTTATAAATACAAAAAAAGGAAATGTAAAGTTATTACTCTATATCTTACTATAGAAAATCATTGAAGAAAATTACCTTCTTTAGAGGCTGTAAAAGATTTTCTATAGACAAAAGACCTGCGTGAACATATTTAGCCCATTTTCAATACCAAAAGTCAACATATTACATTTCGTTCGGAAGCTACAGTGATTTCCACAGACGGACGAACATAGCGTAAATCGACATAGAATTTTATGATAGAGGCATGTGAGATTTTCTATCGATTGTGATAGAGCTTCTTCCTATGGATGAAAAAGTATTCCATCTTTAGAGGTCTGTGACCCGTCTTCTGAAAGGTCTTCTGTATATAGGGCCTAAGAAAAAGGATAAAAATCTATAAGTTGTCTTGTTATGTCCTCAGCTATATGGCTACAGATGGTATATATTATTTGATACGCTCAAAAAGTGCCTTATCGAAATAATGTTTGTAGACCCTAAGTCTCTTTGGACCAAATCTGTTTAAGGACATTTGAAGCCATCTGTGGTCTGGCTGCCTTGTGCGCACGATAACTCTCAAAGGGAGTATCCAATCTGATCCACTCTTGGAACATCGTACTTTTATTATCAAACTTAGATTGACTTCGGTCCTTCTGGTCCTCTTGCCAAAATGGACAATATAGATTCACTCCTTTAAGTACCTCCCCCACAAAGGGTCAAAATTTGGAATAATTATAAGTCTTATAAAATGTGAAGTAAGAGTCCGATTGTCTTCAAATTTAACATTTCACAGTATTTTTATAACCTCCACCATAGTATGGAGGGTATATTAAGTTTTATACCCTCCACCATAGTATGGAGGGTATATTAAATTTGTCATTCCATTTGTAACACCTCGAAATATACATTTTAGACCCCACAAAGTATATATATTCTTGATCAGCATAAAATTCTATGCCAATTTAGCGATGTCGTTTCGTCTGTCCGTCTGTGGAAATCACTCTAGTTTCCGAACGAAATGAAGTAGATTGATAACATTTTACTCAAATGTATATTATGCCTGCAGGACTTTATTATTATTATTGAAAATGGGCCATGTAGATCCACGTTTTTGGTATATCCCCCATATATTCATCAACATACCGAATATCTTACCTCCCGATAGCGACATTATTCACTGGAATTGTTTCAAATTTTGTATTTGAAGTTTGTAATGATAACTACAGCTTATGACATAAAATTGTCTGTGCAGGTCCACGTCTTCGTATATACCCCATATAACGGTACCTCCCGATATTCGGTATTTTGAGGATTTTAGTGACATTATTCACCGAAATTGTTTAAAATTTGGCATTTGAAGTTCGAAATGGATGGACTACAGCCTATTACAGAAAAGTGTCTGTACATGTCCACATTTTGGTATAGCCCCCATATAATAGTACCTCCCTATATTAATCATTTTAGCTACACTGTTCACCAATTTTTTTCAAGTTTCGCA